GGTGCAGCTGTTCTGACGCTATAAATAAAATTCTGACGAAAGTGGCAACGCCTCAAAAAAGTTAAAGATGAGCAACATCACAGACGAGATGCTAAAGCACTGAAAAGCTGTAAAAAAGAGTACTAATGAGATTTATGGTATGATTGAAAACAAAATAACAGAAGCATCAATATTGCTTGACATTTTTACTCAAATGCTACAACACAGAAATTCAAGCACATTTGAATAAGCATCCACAGTGCTGGTGGTTCCCATGATTCAGACCTTTGTGGTTTCCTCACCTTCACTAGTACATTTGGTGGAAAAAATTGATCACCTAACAAATGGTAGATACAAGAAACGATGACCTTTGTAAAATCATAGAATCATAGAATCATAGAATGGTTTGGGTTGGAAGGGACCTTAAAGATCATCTAGTTCCAACCGCCCTGCCATCAGCAGGGACACCTTCCACTAGACCAGGTTGCTCAAAGCCTCATCCAGCCTGGCCTTAAACACTTAAACACTCAGTTTAAATCATCTTACAACAGTAAGGCTTCAAATGTGGCACACAAAGTATGCCACAAAATTATATGGGTCAGTCTTTGGCCTCCTCAGACAGATCCCAAGGAGCTCCCACTCTGAAAACATGCGAGAAGCACTACAATAGACAAAAGATAGGAAAAGGATGGCTGCACAAAAATAGTTACAAAACAAAACCCAGTCCTGCACACAGAGTTGCTATGAAATGAAGCCACCGGCTCAAATGCCTCAGTGAAACCTTGTCCCTTGTGGACGTGAATGGAAGTTTGGCCATTGGCCTCAATGAGGTCAAACATTTAGTCCTAGTTTTATAATCCTTGTCCGTGCATCCTATGCACAGATATACACAAACACAGATATACTGTGTTTGATGTTCTTACTCCTGCACTCCTTCATCTTATCCAGCTAAAAGATACTTGTAAATATTTTCTGCCTCCCCCAGTAACATACTCAACACAAATCATGCCTCCCTGCTGTCCCACACTATTCCTACTCTCACAGACTGACAGAGATGGGAAGACTGCCATCAACCTCCTGCTTCACCTCCCACATCAGCAAAACTGTGATGTGGCTAAGGTAAGGCAGGGCCTGAAAGAGTTTGCAAAATCTGTCAGTCTGTGTGCGTGCCAGCATGAGGGGATATTGTCTGAAGTGTCTGTGGTCAAAAAATCCATGTCACATTTGGTAGTAACATAGAGTTTAAAGGACCAAGACAGGAAATTGTATTTTCCTCCCAGCCACTTCCTCTCACTTAGTTCAGTAGCTGCAGTTTCTGCTGTTTTGTTTCTAGCAAAAATGATGGTTAAAATGAGTTTATGTCCATACAAGTTTTGTAACACAGACACAATAAAATTTTGGGTCATGGTTTTCACCCTAGATATAACACTTTAAATGACAAGATTTGTAAAATCATTAAAGCCCTTGACCCAGAGTGTGTTGTAAGCAGCATGAAACAATACTCTCTTCCTCCTGCTTAGTTTCTTAGTAACTTGCATTTGCATTAGGAGTCATACAATACTTGTGTTGGCCTGTCAGGCCAGTGTAATTTTCCATGTTCTTCACAGATATTCAATATTTCAGGCAATAATATTCATATGTCTACAATTGTGGTTAAGAATAGTGCTGTACTGCCACCTTCTGATACAAGATAATCAGCCATTAATAATCCCATCACTGTGAAACAGCCCTGCAATATGAACCTAGGAATAATTAGACAATAAATTATTGCTCATTGTCAGTAACTGTACTATGATAAAAAATTAATGTGAAATTGTGCATATACTATGTTAAATAGACTTTTGAATGCCCCCTTTCACATGTTATGACTTACTGTCTGAATTAACAAATTTTCAAACAAGTCTATCTGTATCATTTCATTGTTGTAACATTTTATCAAGCTCTATATGCATTATACAGTAGAGCGAGGAGCACAGCGACTTTTATAGGTATTTACCCAGGACTGCAGATGTAAATGACAAACAACTCATATTCTATGGCACAGTGAGGGCTAGGGGCTCCCCAGGGATGGCATGGTGGTAGTGGAAGGGGCTCCCCATGGAGTGTGGCAGGGCAGAACCCCACAGCCAGGGCCCGTCCCACCGCCCAGCCTGGAGCAGAGCAGCCAGGGGCACTGGGCAGCCCCAGCCATCAGGCACCTCCCTTGGGATGGGCTGAGAGATTTGGGTGAGCACCCTTCCCAAAGAGCCCTGTGAGTGAGGGAACAGCAAGCGTACTGAGTGTGGAGACATACCCTGAAACTCACCCTGTCTAGTATCACTGAAAAATTATTTCACTTCTATGAAGTAGCCATAATTACTTAAATTTAGAGGCACTAGTAAGCATGCATTGCTAAAACCACCACATAAATATTTTGCATCTCCCTAGCCTCTGTTTTTTAATGTAGAAAAAGATGTTTGGAACATTTAAAGATGTTTTCCAATTTGTCTTTGTGAGGAATGTCTAATGACAACCATTTCGCCAGTTCTCACACTCCTTTGTAGTGTTTATACTCAGTACTTGATTTAGAATTAAAAGCTCTGGTGATATACCTGTGAAAATCATAACTGGAAATATGAAAAATTACTTCAGTAAACTTTAATGATAACAGCTTGCAACAAAATCAGAACCTGCTCAGTGAGACATAAACATGTGCTTTCTGTATAACAAAAGCCATACTGCTATACGTATGGATGTTTATGTTAAAATTAAGTTAAAATAGCACTGTCAAATAGCTGAACTTAAAAAATACCAGAATTAAAAACCACCAGAATTAAGATTATTTGGGAATTTTAAAATTTTACTTCCTTTAGCTCTGTATCCTGTAGCCAGTTATGCCCTGATCTATCAGTCTATCAGTCCATGTTTTTTCCTTCCACTGAACTTTTTCTTACTCCCTCAGATATATATTTTGTTTGTATTTCCACAACATTGCATGCTATCGGTATAGAAGATGCAGCTCTCCCTCCTGACTCCCATCTGTGCATCCCTTTCACCCAGTTCTGGTCATCTCATTTCAAAAAGGAGACAGCTGAACAAGAATGAGCACAAAAAAGGAATGGCCAGCACTATGGAATGGCATCTCCTAAGAGATTAAACACATCCAGAGTCTTCAGTCTTAAACTACTGTGATGGAGGAGGGATGTGACAGGCAGCTATGAGATCATTAATGGTGTCGAGAACATTAATAGAGAACAATTGTTCAGTATTTATCATAAGCCAAAAAAACCCAGGCGTCACTCAAATCATAATGTGGCAGATGTACAAAAAACAACAAGAAATACTGAGCATTTGCTCAATTCCTTATATTCCTCTCCCAAGTAGCTACTAGTAGCTCAGATGAGGGTACTGGGATAAATGGACTTTCAGTGCTATCAAGTACGATCATCTTTATGTTTGGTTGATTATTATTATTATTATTATTACTATTATTATTATGCTATATAATCAAATTATATGACATTTTCTTCCAAGTCTCCTAAAAACAACCTCCACCTCCCACATTACCCTAGAGGAATAGAGACGTGCAGGATGCATTGTGGTTGGGGACACCTACTGAGAGCAGGTAACTGTAACACACACTGGCAGGGACACTCCTTGATGTGCTGGGACTAATATGAAAGCAAGGGGATGCATATGGGATCCAGGACCTATAGCGCCAAATGAGCTATCAGAGCAGAGGTCTGCTAGTAAGAACTGTAGCCTTAGACTTCTTGTCTAGCTGCAGTTTCCTCTTTTCTCTTGACTCCACCAGTCCCAGCATCCCGCTCTCAAGCCAGTCTCAGTCTTCAACCACAGAACAATGCAAAATGTCTATTAAATAAGCAAAGACATACTTGTCCAATCAGGACCAAAAGGACTGTTTCAATTACATTTTCTGATAAAGCAGATGAAGGTTTAGGGAGTTATTTATCTCTATACTAGACCCTGTAATATTGCTGTGTGAAGATATTTACAAACCTGATGTCCACAGTGTTATTGCATTCATGGTCAAAAATCTCAAAGGCCTCTTTAATCTTTTTCTCAACTTCAGCTACTGCACAATCTGCAGAAAGAAACATAAGAAAAGTAAAAAAAAGGTTCATTGAGCTCTTGCAATTGATTTATTTCCAATTTGAGAATTGCGACCACAGAAGCACCAAAAACTGACAGACAGGTAGACAGGAAAGGTACTTCGAAAAAGCAGAAGTTATTCTGAAAAAAAAAAAAAAACAAACAAAAAAAAACAAAACCACTCTCAATGCAGAATCTATAATTTCTATATGGCCTTGCTATGGCTCTGCAGCTCCAACAAGTCTGGTGGTAATGGTGTGTCTCAGCTGCATGATCACCTAAGTGTCCAAGTGTGGACTCTGTCCAGAGTGTGCCACAGCTCCTTCTGGACCACAAGCCTGAGCCATTCCTGGACACCGTGGTGCCAGTGGTACGAGCAAGGTCAACGTGGGCCCAGATGTGCCCTGAGATAGGGCTGAGTCTCTTCACCCTGCATCCAAAGAAACTTAAGTGTTCTCATGTCCACTAAGTTAGCCATAATGTATAAAAAGCTGACAACCAGCAATAAAGAAGTGGCCAAGATATGTGCACAGTGAATATATCTCATGGTAAATAATTTATTGTAAGAGTTTGGAAAGGAAGACTATCTCAGTGAAGGGGAAGGAGTAATTTGCTTCATTTCCTTTTTATATCTCCATCTCAAAGATTGGGGAAAGAAGAACCGCAAGCTACCACAATTATATCTCATCTAAAGCCAGAAATTTCATTCTGGGGTAAGGGAAGTACCAGGAAATAAATTCCAAAAATAAAAATGTAAAGAGAGAAAAGGGTCTATCTCAAAAAAAAAAGCTTCCTGGCAAGGAAACCAAGGTAAATAAGAGTGAACTGGTTAGCCCATTTATTAACGTCATAGTTCGACTCCAAAAGACCGAATACAGGAAGCAAAGTGATATGATCTTGACCTTTTGGTTCCTGTGGCTATATACTGCCCCAGCTGGCAAACTAACTTTTGGGAGGCAGCATTTTGTGAGTTAGCCCCATAGCCCTCACAGAGACACCACAGGGAAAATCTGAGTGACAGACAGAACATGAGATTGGTATCAAGTACACTTGCTTTCTCATTTGCACACCTCTGCTGTATTTTCAACATAATAATTACAATGTACCCCTCCTCTATTAGAACTGATTTATCTTCTTCTTGAGGCTCATCTGGTGTTAAGTGTTGTTGAGCAGCTCTGACCAGCACTAAACCACTGGACCTTGTTTCCACAGGTATAACAATTTCATATGTAGTTTTCCACAATCCAAATAGTCTGGGAATCCCTGGGGCTGCAGTCTACAGCCATTTTTTTTTCATTTGCTCTCTTACCCTCATGACAGAAATGTCTGTTTTCTGCCAAAAGATATCTGAACTAAACATAGCTAAATGGTACACTGGCTTTGTAATCTCCCTGTCTTTATCTCAACCCATGAGCTTTTTCATTGTATTTTCTCTGCCAGTGCTGTGGAGGAGGGCAGAGTGCAGATGGGTGGGTGCCTGACAGCTGGCCAAGGTCAACCCACCACAGGCTGCCAGCACTTCAATATAGGAGTAGATTGGCCCAGATATAAAGAAGCTCTTTTTCATATAGAACAGAGGCACATCCCCTTATAAAGGTACAAGTGCCTGCTGCTTCCCATCTGTGTTTGGTACTGAACTCCCCCAGAGGATATGTGAAGAGAAGAGAGGTAGGAATATATTTTGTATTCCTCTCTCTGACTTTATTCCCCTGATGGAAGCAAGGGCAGGTACATGTACGATGGATTGGAGACTGGAGCTCACTGAGGAAGAGCCCTGTTCAGTCCCCAGATAGAGGAGAAGCCGTATTTTTTTCATAGCTTGACAATAATGCCTACCTTTTATGTGCCTGAGCAGTAAAATCCACATTTAATTCCTTTCCAAACAACTCAGTTAAATCTAAGTGGACATGATTCCTTGTAGAAGAGGCCCTAAAGACTCTCTAACTACTAAATTTGATGGGAGTTTTTCAGGATTTCAGAGAGTCCTGGATCTATTCTCCAATGTAGACTGCTGGGGTTTAGTTCCTGACATCAGACACTTCAATTGTACACTGTGTCTTGCAGTAGAGAAATGCTGAAGGGATATTTATAGCTGTATATTCTTGGCTTGATGAGTGAGCCTTCTATAGAAATAAAAATTAACCAGGAGGAGTCAGGGAGAGATTTCCACTACTGGAACTATGGAGCCATCCAGCCTTTTCAAGCTTTTCCTTCTGTGAAAACAGTATACATTCATCTTACCTGTTTCAAGAGGCCTGACAAAGGTTCTGAAATGAAATGAACTTGATGATTAAATCTAGGTACCAGACAATCTATATTACTTCCAAGAACTGAGAGGAAGCTGTGATTAAGAGCCATATCCACGGATCCATGGAAGCAAACCTAATACACCGTAGTCCTCTCGAAGACTCTCTGTGAGATGAGTGAACACCTAATAAGCTATTGCCTAAATCTCTTGTCAACCCTTTAGGAATGAAAGCCAAAGATGTTCAACATAGTTCAGGATGGAAAAGCTAGTTATATGAAGACTTTTATGACTCACTCTAAATCTCTCTTTGGGAGGGAGAAAAAGACAGATTCTAGCTCTAGGATAAGTAATGGATAAAGATTTAAAATTATACCTTCAAGAATGGCAACAAGAGATCAGACATGCAGTTAACTCAGCAGATGTGATGCTCTAATGTACTGAAATCTTTCTGTACAAGGAGACTCTGCTCCATGGGTAGATCAATTAAAGTTTCATGTTGCCCTGTGGAGCAATTTTTTAGCAGTTTTCAAGACAGAAATGCCTACACTCTGATTGAATAAAACATTTCGCTCACTTATTCTACTAACTAGAAAAACAATACATAATAACAAAGATAAAATTATCTGATTACTTCTAATGGCTTAAATAAATAAATATTTAAACACACTATATCAAAAAAAGATTCCAACACCTACAACTACTTACTCCCTCAAACACGTCCTGTAGGGATGATATACTATTTCCTTTTATATGCTGCTAAAATGCTCCAGATAATTGCCATTTTTTCTCATTTTCTCATTCTTATTTATTTTCCTACCACATATGCAATAAGAAGACAAAATTTCTTAAAATCCATTCTCCAGGAGCATTAACTGAAAAGTGTACTCACTATCAGTTTCCTTTCCTGTACTATCCTCTGCTACTTTCCCAGTTTGTTTAGCATGAACTAGATACAGCTCTAGACGCTGCCAGTTAAGTAAGACTGGCAGGGATCTGGGACTCCCAAATTAATTCTGCTGGTTCTTTCAGACTGAATTCTTCCTCTTCAGCTTGTCCAGACTGTTCCCCAGCACTCCAAAGCCTATTTGAAGTCAGCTCTTAAGCAGCACACCTGCCTCAGTTGTGACATTTCCTCTTCAAAGACCACAGCTTCAGTCTTCGTAGGGATCAGAAGCAATTAAAGAAAAAGATGTGGCTCTGCCAGACTCTTGAGTAATGAACATTTTTAAAAGTGATTTCTAGTTGATACAGTTTGATAGATTCTACCATTCCTTTAACTGTATGAGCTTGCTTTCTTTTCTTCCTCAGGGCCAGTTCCTCTGATGGTTCAAAAAGCCAACCCTTCCTTTCACTGAAGAGAAGCTACGTGCAGGAAAAAGCAGTATCAAAAGAACAGGTAGGCCAACATTAAACAACCACCTAAAATGCTGGGCAGCAGCATCTGGCTGCTGCTCACAGAAAAAGATTTAGTCCCAATACAGCCTGATGAACCTTCTTACACAATGTGATACTCTGAAACTCTTTTCATGCTATGTAAAGAATAAAATTAAGGGCTGATTTGTAGAAGCACCAGTGGACTTCATTTTATTACTTAGTGTTACTACTTAACACACCTGAAACATTAATCTTTATAAATATTAATCTAGGTATATTTTAATAAATATAGTCAACTTTACATTTAAACACCTATATGTATGTGGACACCTCATTAATTACTCCACCTTCTCCTCATGATACTATGTTAGGGTTACAAGTAGGTGTGAAGAAACCCCTGAGGTCTCTGGTGACAGGAACACTTTTTATACAGGGCTGCCTTGCTGAACTAGTCAGTCTGAAAGGACAAGGGACACAACTGGGTGACCCCAACTCAGCGACAGACAGTTTTGGAGTCATTTACATGTTGTTGTTCTGGTTTTATTTAAAAGTGGTGTTACCAACAGCTCTTTTGTAGTTCTCCCCATCCACTAACCAGGGCTTATCAGTACAAAGTACAGAATTGTAGCAGTGGCTACATATTCCAGGACCATTTCTTCTCCTTCTCACTAGTCATTATTTCAACCAAAAAAGCGGGCAGCAATGTTGGTCCTGTCAGCTGAAAACTGGGAAGGGGATGGAAAGACTGTCATGAAGAAAAATGAATATTTTTAAGAAGGCAATGGACACAAGAGAGGATATGATTGTGCAGGCAGCCACATGAGAAAACGTGAGTCTTAAAGCCCCCTGCAATCTCCACTCAGCTTCAGTGAACCTTCTCTTCCTGCTCACAGATCCAAGCTATGGTATTTAACTACCCTCCTCACACTGCTCCAACACTGCAACACTCCTTATGCTGCCTCCATGAAGCCCCGCTGACCATCATCCTTTGCAAATCCTAGCTCTTCCTATCACAGGCTTCAAACTGAAGGACTTGAGAGGTGGGGCCCAAAACGGCAATGCTCATGCCATCGTATCCAACTGGGGAATAAGCCAGGCCAACCAGAGCAGCGACAAATGTTCCTTAGCTGCCTCTCACAATGAGAACCAGAAGGCAAATCATCTCAAGGGTGACAGAGCACTGGAACAGGCTGCCCAGGGAGGTTGTGGAGTCTCCTTCCCTGGAGACGTTCAAGATCCGCCTGGACACCTTCCTATGTGATCTCATTTAGGTTCCTGCTCCGGCAGGGGGGTTGGACTAGATGATCTTTCGAGGTCCCTTCCAATCCCTAATATTCTGTGATTCTGTGATTCTGTGTACGGATACGGTGGATTTTCCTGCACCCCTCCAAGGAAACCTACATGCTCGAATACCTCTCTGAA